TTTAATTTCTTTTTTCTAGGCATGCCAGTGTACTGAATTAGACACACTGATTCCACTACAGTTTAAAGTGTCTAAGCTACTACTTGTTGGTGATCCTCAACAGCTCACAGCCACAGTGTTGTCAGAGGTTAGTGTTCTTAAACAAATAAATATAATCATTAAACTTTTGGTAATGTAGATTTGTTTCTGACCAAACGTACCTCTTCCATGACTTCTGGAAAGCGGACAATGCTACTTCAAGCAAACAAAATCTTCTACAAACAATTTTGTGTTGGGTAAGCTGTTAATTATTAATTAAGTTTGCATTGTCCACAGAAAGCAAAAGAGTTTGGCTTTCAACAGTCTCTGTTTGAACGTATGTATAAAAACTTCAGAGGACAGCTGACTCTACAAAGGAACCCAGTGCACCTGTTGAGGACTCAGTATCGAATGCATCCAGAAATCTGCAGCTTTCCATCAAAGCACTTCTACAATAATAAATTAAAAACCTCTCTGTAAGTACCTGATTTACAATTTTTCCTGTCTTCTAATACCTCCGAACATTGTACTGAAGCCAATCACAGATAATTTTATGTCACTTTCTCTATTCTCCATTTTTCTTCTAACCAACTGTCCCTTTCTTCACTGCTGCTCTCTTTTTTCCAGTATTCTTCCCACTCTCCTAACCTTACTAAGCAGAATTTGCCAGAAAACAATGGATATTTCAACCGATAACTTTGTTATTACAGGCCTGAACCTACCAAAAGAAAATATGACTCCTTTCCATTTAGACCTTACTTGCTATTTGACATCATAGAAGATGGAGAAAGGTCAACAGACAAGTGAGTAAAGCATTATGCTGTTTCAGGGGCTGATATGCAAAACAGCAATACATATTCATAATGTCTTCAATTGATGCTGATGCTAATATGCAACTGTTAATTTAAATATATAATTCATTGATTGATGATTAGATAAAAGAAGAATTTGTAATATTTATAGCTAATTCATATGAATATATAAGCTGCCCTAAATATTTTTTTAGGAAACTTGTTTAACAAATATCTTAGGGTTTAAGAATAAAATTACATTTTAATTAGAGCAGTCAATCCATAGATTGTATATCTCCGCCTTGTGCCTGATGAGTGTTTCCATTATTTTCTTTTATGTAAAAAATCAAATTTCTGTGACCATGACCTTGTCCTTTGACATTTCCTTAAATTTAATCATCTATTTCTTAGATTATTATGTGCCATTCCACTAAATTTTATGATGACCCATTCCTTAGTTTTAATCTTGCTAACAGATGTCAGACAGACAAACAGCGGTGATTTACAAAGCCTCCTTGGCGGACTTTAAAATGGTTTTGCCATAAAAGTATAATTTTTGAACGCATGAAATGAAGTGAAGAGTTCCTAGTATTCCATAATTTAATAATAATATATTTTGTAAACATGATTTACGGTACTCGCATTTATTTTGTTGAATATAATCTTCTTTTGGGACCTATTACCTGTTAACTCTTTAAAATGAATCTCAAATTTTTTTGTTTCAAGTTATAATACAAAATCAAAACCTTTTTTTTATCAGGCCTTTAGACTATCACAGCTAGCATACATTTAGATGTACTGTAAATGCAATGTTTTTATTTTTGTTAGGGATATCATAAACAAAGCAGAATGTCAAATGGTATCCGCTTTAGTTTCGCTTCTGGTTGCCATTGAGAAGTTTAGAATTGGCATCATAACACTGTGTGAACAACACAAGATTTTGCTGAATGAAAAAATAAAAAGGTAAACACAAGTTTTTGTTAAATGAATATTTGCAATATCCAAAGTTCTACTTGATTATCCAATAAAATCAATTGTAAGAAATGAAATAAAAACCTTAATTCAGTTTTACTCGCAATTTTTTCTTTTATTTTTTTTTTAGTATCAAAAGGGAGTGGACACTGGGGCCACCCACCCTGCTCCCCAAATCTTCCCCTGTCAAATTAACACTTTGTAGATACATTTATATTTTTGGCGCTGTACAATTATTATAAATAGAAAATGATTCAAATTGAATAATATTATTTATTTTCAACATAATTGTTGTGTGTACTAAATAATCTTAATTCTTGATTTAAAAATATTCAAAATCACCTGTGAGGTTGAGGCTCAGATCCTGGGAACCAGGTATTTGGAATTGTTGTGCTTATTAGACAAGGCAGGCTTAAACTTGCCATTTATCTTGGATGTAGGACATGTTTTTGCTAATGACACTATAAATAATAATAATTTTGTATTATACAAAGGTTATTTTCTTCTTTTTTTTGTCTCTTTAAACTTGTAGACTGACCAACACTAATGAAAGTATTGGGCAAAATGTTGAGATTTCTACTGTTGATGGCTTTCAAGGGCATGAGAAAGATGTCATTATTTTGTTTTGTGTCAGAGCAAGAGGGAGCGGCATTGGGTTTGTTTACTAAAATA